AGTGTTATCTCGATCCCTGATATCGGACCATGCTGCATTGCTAACGGCACTGCGTCAACGTCACGCACGGCCACGGGCGGAGCAACCCATTCCTCGCCATGTCTTCGAGAGCCATATATTTCGGCAACTTATTGAAGGCATGTTCAAGGACGGTGATGGCGCGGAGACGTTGTGCTCTACGTCGGTCTACCAGGGGCACTTCCAGGACATGTTGAAGGAGGCTGCCAGAGAAGTTCGTGCTTGGTTATTCATCTCCCATCCTGCTGGAGATGAAACTGCGTTGCTGGTCGCTCGGGGATGCGACCGTGCGGCGCGGCGGCAGGACTCGTCTTGCTCGTCGCTTGGTGGCGACATCGGCCACCGCAGACAGCTTACTCGACATCGAAGGCCCACAAGTTGCTCTTCGACACCCTGAATCGTTCCACATGTGGACGGACGGAGTCCATATGCGGCTCCTGCCTGCTGCAGGTATTCGCTCGAGTCGACCGCCCTCCTCGTTTCGTCGTCGCCAGGCGTTGGAGCGACAACCAGCGATCTGGGCCCCTTTCTCTCGGAGGTTGGTGTTACGTGCTGTGCGTGATGGCCCTCGGTTAGCAGAATCACCTGGGCATCGAGTCGCTGCCCTCACTGGGCACTGGCGCCCTGTCTTCTCGCGATCGGATGTCGACTTGGAAGCTGCTCAGAAATATATCGAACATCCGTGCCCGTCACCTGTGCTTCCCGACGTTCCTCCCCCGTCGAAGGCTGACATTCTAAATATTGTCACTCGTGCCCGACACTCTGCCCCTGGGGTCGACGGGCTACTGTATGCGGCCTGGGCGGCTGCCGACTGCTGCCTGGACGTGTTATGCCTCATGATGGTCTGGATCTTGCGTGGCCAGTCCCTCTTCGATGCGGCCAGCGTCACCCTCCAAGCGTACTTGCCTAAGGGATCGGAGCACGACGACATGGCCTCTGGAGGCTGCATCAGATCCGCCGATAAGATCAGAGTCCTCGGGCTCCGCAACGCCGATCTGAAAATTCTGACGGCTGCCGTGAACCGATCACTTAGAGGAGTTGTGAACACCATCGTCCCTCAGTCGCAGCGCGGCTTCGTGCAGGGCCGTAACTTCGGGTACAACATCTTAGAGTTAGATGGCTTCAGTCGTATTGCTGGGGCTCATCCGATGGCCCCGACCTGGCCACCGCTTCTGGCCTCGTTCGATTTCGGCCAGGCCTTCCCGAGCCTCTCCCAGGAGTTTATGATGCTCTTCCTGGCCCACCTGCGCGTGCCTGCACCTGTCCTTTACTTCCTGGCCTGGCTGCACTCCGCCAGTGGCCTGCTCCACTCTGTTTACTTGCTGGGGTCTGGGATCATACAGGGCCGCGGCCTCTCTGGGACGCTCTATGCTCTGTGCACGGCCCCGTTCCTGGTTGACCTGGGACATTCCCTGGGAGATGCTGGACTTGGCCTCGCGAGGGCCTGTGCCGACGATATGGGGGCTGTCTTGTTTGAAGCCCGGGGTCTTCAGGTGCTCTATCGTGTGATGACAACTACGAGGCATCTCACGGGACTCTGCCTTAAGGTCAGTAAATGCAAGGTCACCCCGTTCCACGCGGCGTTCGATCCTGACTTGCTCGCTAGTACCCGTGAGCTTCTCTGTCGGTTGGTTCCTGACTGGCAGGCGTTCGAGATCGTTGCGCACCTGATGTACCTCGGCGTTCTCTTGGGACCAGACGTCGCGATACAAATGCAGAGGGACGCGGCGAGGCTGAAGCTTAAGCTACGGGCCAGGCTTCTTGGGTCAGGCTCAGCTCCTTTGGGGATCAATGGCGTGCTCTACCGATCGCGGGCCCTCCCCGTCCTGTCCTACCTGGCCCAGTTTTACCCTCTGCCTCCCAGGATGGCCACTTTCGAGCTCTCTGTGCTTGCTCAAACGCTCCGTGCTCCCATGGGTACTCTACCTGCCACCGGCTGGGCCCAGCTAGCCGACTGGGGGGCCCCCAAAATCCCTCTCGTGCTACACTCGTGCGCTGCTGCTTTTGCTCGAGCTGCCGTCATCACGTTCGGCGAGCACTCTCACATGCGGTCTACTATTTCATTCGCCACACAATCATGCCACTCTGACATCCTGAATGGGCTGTTTGATGGCGCCCCATTAGCTGCCATCCGACCTCGGCTGGACTTGCTCTGTGATGCGGGGCGACACTGGAAGATGCCACTCGTTCTGCTAACATACGCGCGGCTGCAAGAGGGATCGGCTCGAGCTGGATATGCATCGGAAGTTCTGCGATGCTGCACGACGGCGATCTCCTCGGAGCTGCTAGTCACTGGGCGAAAGCTCAAGTACCAACGGGCAGCCACAGCTGCGCTCTTTGAGCAGTTCGTGACCCCCTACCCGCTGCACACGCTCTTCGAGACCAGGCTCGCCCGCTACTTCGACATGGGCGAACCCTTCCTACACCGTGTGCCGTGGGAGGCTATTCGGATGCTGCTACAGCTGCTACCAACGAGCTGGGTCTTCCCCATGATCAAGACATGGGTGTCTGCGTGGCTCACAAGGTATCGCATCTGTTGCCCGTCAGGTCGTCGGCGCTGCATTTTCGGCTGCAGCACATTCTCAGACAGACAATGCCATTACGTTCGATGCCGTCGCCTGTGTCGTGCCGTGGGACACGCTCTTGGACGCTCACCCCCTGCGCTTCTACATGAGCGACTGTGCTTGACTGCGCTGTATGTGGAAAGAGTTGAGGCGGTTGTGGTCATGTACACTACGTATCACGCCATCAGGTTTCGCGACTGGGTCTCTCCCTCTGCTCTGAGCTCTGCTGCCCGTGCGGCTGTCAGAACGCTACGTATGGCGTCGCCGACTGACTAGCTTGATAAGAAGTGGAAGGCCCCGCCCCCGTGCATTCCTGTCCTGCGCTCGATCACAGACGAGCTCCCCCCCTCCGAGTCCGACGGTCATGCTGAACGTGATGCTGGGCAAGGTTGTGACGTTGTCGCGGATGATGTGGGTAGTGAAGGAGTGGCCCCTGGTCTTTCACCATGCCTCACGCCGCGTCCGGTTCCGACTTTTCACAGCGATGACGAAGGAACCCACCGTGAGACCGCACCCTCGACACCTCTGACAATGATTGCCACACCAGAACGAGTTGGCCCTCTCAGCGACTTAGATGGGATCGGTCCTGGCAGAACGCAAAGTCCTGTGCACGGGTGCTCCTCGAGCCCGTTGCGGCAGGCCCAAGCGTCGCCACTGTTGCTGGATGTTGGTGGAATGTCTGGCAGAACGCAAAGTCCTACGCTCGGGTGCTCCTCGAGCCCGTTGCCGCAGGCTCAGATGTCGCCACTGCCGCTGGACGTTGGTGGAAAATCTGGCAGAACGCAAAGTCCTGCGCACGGGTGCTCCTCGAGCCCGTGGCGTCAGGCTCCGTCGCCATCATTTTCGCTGGACGCTGGTGAAAAAGCTGGTCTCAGCATACCTGGGGTGGAAAGAGAGGAATTGGTTCCCAGCCAGAGTACGAAGTCTACCGCACCCTGCCCGATTGCCACTTGGGCGAGGATTGAGCCGACAACGAGGGTGGCGTTGCCGAGGTCGATATCCGCCTGTTTGCCGATGCGGGCTACTCCGCGCTCCTGTCCCGCGCCCTCGTCGATTGTGCCGTCGTCGAGGATTGCTTCGAGTGAGCGCAGAGCTGAAAATATGATCGAGGCCTCCCACCCCGTCCGATGCGAGGCCGTCTGCCGCGCTCGCGGTTCCCTCGCTGTCCTCTCTACTCGCCCCTGCCCCCCGCCTGCTCCTCCCCCCACTGCGCCGCATCATCTTCTTAGTTCATATGTGTTTTCCTCCCTCTCCCCGTCCTTCGCTCCGATGAGCTCTGCGTCTGCCGCTGCCTGCCCCCCGCCTGCCCCCTCTCCCACCGAGATGCATCACTTACTGGGTCGTGCTGGCGAATCCCAGCGACTCGCTCCCGCTTCGCCTGTCATTCTCCTTCCTCGGTCACCCCGCTCGGGGCTCCCTTCCACTGAGCTTTCATCGCACGTTCGCCCGTCTTCACGCAGCCCCGCGCTTCTTGCGCCGAGAGAGCGCGGCCACGGTGCTCGTGTCATCTCATTCGCCGACGCGGAGTTCCTCTCAGGCGCGCCGCCCGCCCCCTCGCCACCCGCCGCTGGGGGGTCGGCCTAGGTGGTCGACGCACTCCCGCCTCCTACGCTGGGCTCCTCCTCCTCCTCCTCCTCCTCCTCCTCTTCCTCTTCCTCCTCATCCCGTTGTCATCGTCGTCGACGTCCTCGTCGTCGTCGTCGTCCACACCATGGGGAGCCTGAGACTAGGATATCTCAAGTAGTCGTAGGCAGGGGGCATAGGGATATGGGGGAAGAAGAGGAGTGGGAGGACCGGGAGTCGGTAGTTCCAGGTCGGGGGCAGCCCTCCTCTCCCCTTTGCTTTCCGTGTTCTTTGTCCGCCTCCACTTCCCCCTCCTGGTCCTCCATCCTCTTCCTGCACTGGCCGGCGCGGTATGCGGCATGTGTGCGGCAGTCGCGTTCGTGTCCGTTTTGAATTTCTAATCGCGCCCAGGTGCGGCGTCTGCATATTTTTAAGTTGGGCGCGGCGATTCGTTTTTCAGGTTTATGGGGCCGCCTGTTTTTGCGAGCCGCTTGGCTCGCAAGTGCGACCGTGAGAGCCGATTTGCTTCATGTTGCCTGGCTTCTCGAACGGGGGAGCCGATTCGCTCTCAGCTCCTGTCGAAGACGACCAGACGCGCCCATCGAGTTACGATAACCTGAGTCGTCATCGTCATCATCGACGTAATCGCCGTCGCTCTCGCGATTCGTCAGTGTCGCCCTTGCAGTTGCATTGACAGGTGTTCATGGTCCGTTGATTCCAGGGCTACCACGCTGAAGTCGGTCAATGTTTGGAAGGCAGGAGGAGGAGGAGGAGGAGAGGAAATTGAGATGGACGAGGAAAACAAGGATGGAGGGCGGTGTGAAGAAGGAGGAGTTGCTTCTGTGGCCAACCCAGGAACCAGAGGTAGAGCCTGGAAAGTATGTCCTCATGGAACTGGCCGGGGACGTCGTGGAGCAGGACATCTGGGACTATTTCGGCGTGCTGGGCACCATTAAAGAGGTCGCGCGGACTGTCTTCATTCAGCGCGCAGTCATTATCATAGCCCCTGGGTCCTGGGACTCATCGGGTCGGCAGGTTTTCTAAGTTTGGGTACCTCCAGCGTCCCATTCCGGGGCCTTGGGCACAATTTTATCGACACGTCGACGCGGATGTCCCCACATACGTGCACATGTTTCCTCATGTTTTCTTTACGAGCGGTGTGTCTATGAGCGAGCCTGGGTGTGGGTGGGGCCGAGCATGAACGGCTGAGGTCGACTAGTTCTGGTTGGGCATGCCTCTGCGCATGAGCGGCCAACGAGGAGTGGGCCTGACCATGTGCGACTCACCATTGGAGGCTGAGTACGGGTGGGCCAGAACATGAGTGGTTCTGATTGCGAGTGGGTCTGAATGTGAGTGAGGAGTATGAGGATGTCTGAGCAGAGTGTGCTTGAGTCTTAGTGTAAAGGAGCATGAACATGAGTGGGTTGGGGCAGATGCGTATGTGCGCGCCTGATGTTTAATTAGTCTGTGCACGGGCGACGAAGTATGACATACTGAGCACGGGTGCGTCTGAGTATGATTGGGCCTGCTCCGAGAATTAGTCTGGGCGGGAGTGAGCCTGAGTATGCACGACTTGGTGTGATGGAGTTTGAGTAGACTTGGGCGGGCATGCGCAAGACTGGAGGTTTTGCGTTCTCCCCCCGCAGTGAAATGTACCCCCCCCGTCCTGGACTGCAGTCGTGCAGTACCCTCTCCCTGGCGCCCCCACGAGGTCACCGTTCAGCAGAACGAGCTCACAGCCACGGTGGCCTTCACCGAGTCCGACGACGATATCAAGAAGTTCATGCTGGAGCAGACGCACGAGATCAAGGGGAAGGCCAGAGTGACAGCGGCCCCCGCTGGCTCCAGGCCTCCCCAAGTGGGGTCCGAGCAGATGGGGTCGGAGGACTGCGCCGCATCGCCGATGCATCATCGGCGATACGGTTCGATGTGGAGCCCGATTTCCTCCACGCCGACGTCCCCGATGCTCAGACCCCCGCGGCGCGATCCTCAGACCCCATCTACTCGGACCCTATTTGGGAGGCCTATACTGGTGGTGACTGGCGAAAGCGTCCTCACCAACTTTGGCTCGAGAAGCGCGGCCCTGTTTGGGGCTGTGCGCGCTGGGCAGCGCTGCGAGACGGCGCGGAGTGCACGCCGGAGAAAGGCGCAGGGGAGCGAGATCGCTCGTCCACCGCCCTTCCAGGTCTGATGCTCGCAGGTCCTCCGCGCCGAGCAGCGAGCTCCGGCGGCCCCGGCAGCAGCATCTGCAGCCGCCCGACGCGCCGACTGCGTGCTGGGCGTTGGCGACGTGGAGGTGGCCGAGCAGCACGTGTGGGCCGACGCTCGCCGCATCCTGCCAGGCCAGCCGGCCAGGGGGGCCCTGGCATCCGCCCATAACTTGGCATCGCTCGGACGTGTGCATTTTTCCTTCGGCGAGGGCCATCGAGGACCATCCTTGATCATTTGGCGAAGAAACCACGCACGAAACCGAAAAAAACGCAGGAAATGGACGTCCGAGCGATGGCCAGTGCGCGGCCCCAGACGTCCCGGCCGCTTCCCCGGGGCAGCTGCTCGTCCCGCATCAGTCACCGAGCGCTGTCCACTGCTCGCGAAGTGCCTATTCGCAGAAGGTCCAATAAACAAACGCCTGCCTCGACGCAGTGTATCGCAAATCCCCCTCAGCGAATCCGGACCATTTGCGAGTAGTTGCTTTGCGAGTAGTGGAGCGCGCTTGTCTAATCAGGTCTGGTGGTCCCAGGGCGTGAGAATGAACCTTGGAGGCCGAAACCCAGGAAACATCTTTTCACTGTCAACGTCGCAGCGCGGGCGGCAGAGGCAGTCCGCATGCGCATCGAGGCTCGATCGGTTCTGGGAAAAACATGCAGATTGAAAAGCCACATCTCAGGAGGGGAAGAAACACACAGACACAATTAATCGTCGATCCCCAGGAAAATATGCGAAAATATGGGAATTGGGGTGGAAGACAAAAACCCAGAAAATATGAGAAAATATGGGGAATCATTTTATTTGTGTGTATTTATTTGTGTGTTCTGGGGTCCCTTCAACATCGTCGGAGGTCTGGGGCCTCATTCCTGCCAGGGGATGTGGACCAGGGCGGGCCGCCCGGCCTCGAGCTCGCCAGGGGCCGGGGACGGGCCGCAGCACCGCCTGCAGGGCGCAGCGCCTGGGGCCACCACCGAGGGCGACGCCGCCGCCCCCGCGCCTGCCCAGCGGTCGCGCGTGATCACCGCGGGTCGTCCCAGATCTCCGACGGTTTCATCGGGCGACGAAATCTATACATATCCACTGCTCCCTGACCATGCCCATCTTGAACCCAGGAGCTGTGTATGCGCCCTCCTGGCCAAGCCAGGAGGGCGTGGCGTATACACCGCTGCGGGGTTGAGGATGGGCCTGGCCAGGGAGCAGTGGATATGTATAGATTTCGTCGCCCTATTTCAGGTTGTCGAATCCTGGCCGTCTTTCCCAGGTCTCGGCCCTCGGAGGCTTCTTCGGGCTCCTCGAGGATCAAAAAACGGATCCAGGCCAAAAACCAGCCCTGAAAAGTGAAGCGGTCGCGACTATTAAGGACGTGGATTTTGGAAACATTAGGCCCTCGGATATCAGGGGTCGCGCACGGTCCGTCACCGCACGGTTTTAGGACCCTGGAGGCCCCAGCCGCCCAAGGCATCCCCGGAGAGCGACCCAACTCCCCTAACCCACCACATGGGGCGTTCCAAGAGGGGCTTTGCCTTCGACAAGGGCTCCCACGAGGGCGCGAAGTTATTCGCGCTTCGCGCTTCGCGGTCCTCGTTCCTTCTCCCCCTCCTCCTCGTCCTCCTTTTCTCCCTTTGGGGGGGCGGCGCGAGAGCGCGAAGTTACTCGCGCTTCGCGGCGCGCGAAGCGCGAAGTTGGGAGCCCTAGAAAAGAGGCTTTGCCTTCGAGGACCGAAGAAGTTGCCATCTCTTCCTCGGCGGAAGGCGGCGGAAGGGCGGCGGAAGTAAACCGGCGGAAGGCGGCGGAGGTAAAATATGCGCCTCCAAGAGATGGAAGCGTTTTGGTGATCCGGGTTTTTTCCGAAGTCCGCCGCATGGTGTGGTCACCGCATTGTGGGAGGGACTCCCGAAGAGGTGGCTGCGCGGCACCCAGCTCGAGAGAGCCCTTTGGCCTCGCCGTGCTGCGCCGAACGCGCGGTGCCCCGGCGACGCGCCGGTGCACCCTGGGCGTCGCCCGCAAGGGTAGAGCCCTCGCGCCGCCCCACGGCCTGCCCTGATGGGCCAACTGTCTACCAGCACTACCATAGGTAGGGCGGGGGAGAAGGGAGGGTGGAGAGGCCTACCTCCTCCTCCTCCTCCTTCTCCTCTTCCTCTTCCTCCCCATACTAGATATGGTAGTGGTGGTGGAGTCGGCCCAGCATGAACGAGAGAACCGCCCCCCCTCCGTGCCTTGAGCTTTCTTGGCGTTGCAGTTTTTTTCTCGCACGGGGCGATACCGGGAGCATCACGGATCGGTCCCGCTCGAAAGGCGCCGCAGCACCATGAGATCCGACGCTGCAAAAAAACGGGGCCGCCAGGCTCTCGGGGCGGGCTGGGCCCTGGGCCCCCGGGCGCGACTGCCTCGCGGCGCGCCGCCCTCTCTCTCTGCAGGCGCCAGGTCTCGCGGGGGGGGGGGGGGGCGCGGGGAGGGCCGCGGGCCTCGCGCCCCGCGCGGAGCGAGGGGCGAGGTCGGCCAGCCGCGGTGCTCCCGCATGGCGCCTCGGGGGCCTGGTGGCCGGCTGGGGCCACGGGCCGCGTGGTCGCGGGCAGATGCAGTCAACCCGCACAGCAAGGATGGGCAGCCTTCCCCAAGGGGTACCCTTGCATCCTGGCCTCCTGGGTCTATCCTTGGCCGCTTCGGCTGGCCAGCCTCGTTCGAAAAGCGTTCACGTGGCACTCCAAGGCCCTGCACGAACGAAATGGGCACGGAAAGAATGGGTAGAATGCCCAACAGCGGATCTGGTTCGTTTTGAACAGGACTCGCTGTCCACGCCGCCGCGGCCTGTGTCCGTTCGAGAAGGCCGCCTGCCCAACAGCGGCCGCTGTTGGTTTGAGACAACATCTGTTGTTGGGCATTGTACCCATTCTTTCCGCACCCATTTCGGGCGTCCAAAAAGGCTCTTGCATCCTCACTGCGCATCCTTGTTATACGGGTTGGCTGTAGCCCTCTGGAGGGGCAGCAGATCTTGCCATGCGGGTACCCTGGCGTACCCAGCTTGTCGCCAGTCCACTGCATTCGCTCACGCTCGTGTGGCGGCTCGTCGCTCGGTTGCCAATCGCCCCCTCAGCTTATGATGTTCCAACCTACTTTACCGAAAGAATTTCGAGCACCCCCAAAAAAGATGTTCGAGGGTTTTCACGTGTCGGGCCCCGGGAGACACTCGCCCGACATTGTTTCGACACTCTTTCGACACTTTTCCGGGTGCTCGAAATTATTTCTGGGATATGGTCTTTAAGTACAATCACGGCGGTCAATCAGAAAGCTGGTTTTGCGTGCTAACCACTGCCAGTTTCTTATGGCACGGCGTGTTTGGGCATATCAGGGGCTGGCAATTCCTTCTGCGCTCGGTTTCTTGTCCCAGGTCGCGCAATACATTATGGTTGCCCCTTCCGGGCTGATTTTCGTAGTTCGGGCTTGTTGCCGCTTGCCCGTCGGTTGCATTGGTCATCGGCTGCCCCTTCCTGGCTGGTTTTGGTCATGTTTCGGTTGTCCGTCGGTTGTCTGTCGGTTGCTGTGGTCGCGCCTTGCCCTCGGCTGGCCCTCGGTCGCTCGGTCTCTCGCATGCCCGTTCTTGGTTGGTTTTGGGTCATTTTTCGGTTGTCTTTCGGTTGCTGTGGTCGCGCCTGGCCCTCGACTGGCCCTCGGTCGCTCGGTCTCTGGTCTGCCCCTTCCTGGCTGGTTTCGGTTATTTTTCGGTTGTCCGTCGGTTGCTGTGGTCGCGCCTGGCCCTCGGCTGGCCCTCGGTCGCTCGGTCTCTGGTCTGCCCCTTCCTGGCTGGTTTTGGTTATTTGTCGGTTGTCCGTCGGTTGCTGCGGTCGCGCCTGGCCCTCGACTGGCCCTCGGTCGCTCGGTCTTTCGTCTGCCCCTTCCTGGCTGGTATTGGTTATGTTTCGGTTGTCCGTCGGTTGCTGTGGTCGCGCCTGGCCCTCGGCTGGCCCTCGGTCGCTCGGTCTCTCGTCTGCCCCTTCCTGGCTGGTTTTGGTTATTTGTCGGTTGTCCGTCGGTTGCTGTGGTCGCGCCTGGCCCTCGACTGGCCCTCGGTCGCTCGGTCTTTCGTCTGCCCCTTCCTGGCTGGTTTCGGTTATTTTTCGGTTGTCCGTCGGTTGCTGTGGTCGCCCCTGGCCCTCGGCTGGCCCTCGGTCGCTCGGTCTCTCGTCTGCCCCTTCCTGGCTGGTTTTGGTTATTTGTCGGTTGTCCGTCGGTTGCTGCGGTCGCGCCTGGCCCTCGACTGGCCCTCGGTCGCTCGGTCTCTGGTCTGCCCCTTCCTGGCTGGTTGTGACGTGTTTTCGGTTGTCTGTCGGTCGTCCGTCGGTTGCTGTGGTCGCGCCTGGCCCTCGGCTGGCCCTCGGTCGCTCGGTCTCTGGTCTGCCCCTTCCTGGCTGGTTTTGGTTATTTGTCGGTTGTCCGTCGGTTGCTGTGGTCGCGCCTGGCCCTCGCCTGGCCCTCGGTCGCTCGGTCTCTCGTCTGCCCCTTCCTGGTGGTCTTGGTTATTGTTCGGCTGTCCGTCGGTTGCTGCGGTCGCGCCTGGCCCTCGACTGGCCCTCCGTCGCTCGGTCTTTCGTCTGCCCCTTCCTGGCTGGT